TACTTGATGACAAGTTCACTGAGATTGACCAATGATGTTTCTCTGATGTTTATATATTAGACATCTTGAAAATGGCGCGCCAAAGCGGACAAAAATACTTGTGTGTGAAAATATAATGCCTATTGGTGTTACTTTTTTAAATTTACGACTTATTGTGAAAATGTAATAATTGTTTTGTGAAAACTTACCACCAGAGAAGTTAGCATCAGGAGGGAATGTTCTAAATAAGTCGAGAATGTAGTGGCGTCCATCAGCACCAATTATGCCCTGAAAATACAGTAAAAGTAAAAAGACTAGTTTGGTAAAATAAGTATCAAGTAAACTAGTCTGTGGCAAAAAAACCCCATCAAATCTTGTAGTGTGTTTTAATAACTACACATTTGACTTTAATACAGCTAATTAATTTGATGTTTTAAATCACCAACRTATTAAATAAAGACCATTCGCAATATTAATTAAACAATAAGGACAATATTATCRATAAATAATACAATAATAGGCAAAAAGGTATCAAGAGTCGAAAATGTTCACATTTGTCAYGAGCCTAATTTGCTTCTTTAGACATGTCTCTCAATGTAATAATATTTTAGGAAACACAATCAGAATAAAATCAGTCTCTAACTTTTGCCATAAAACCACTTTGAGAGCTATGAAGCAAAGAGTATGATGCTAGAAGCCAAAAGACAAACATAAAACAATGATTCTATACAGCAGTTGCTTGATGAATGCCAGACTCATTACTTCTAGAACTCATTAATAATTCATGAGCTATTAGTCCAATGAGCATCAAACTATTGGGTCACATGATGGGCCTTTATATCTGATAAAGTACTGATGTTTTATTAATCAGTTCTAAATCAGATATATAGAAYTGATGTTTTATTAATCAGTTCTATATGAGATATAAAGAACTAATCAAGCTCATCAGCATTTATCTCTTGTAAAGGGCATAAAATTTCCTATCAAGCAGTGATATAGAGAATAATGGAACTATTTTTGAATRGGGAGATTTCTAAAACAATTTTTTCATAATTATTTTTCTTTTTGTCTGGGTGAAACRTTTGRAGAAAGGTGCYTACCGTAATCGAGTGAACCATGAACACAAACATAACACAATATGCACATTAAGTCATTTACCTTGCATTCAATAGATGAGCAGATTTCTACTTCTTCACTGTTGTTTCCTAAAACCCTAAAAATCCATGAAAAGATCCATGAATCTTCCCCCTGACATCCCTTCCTTCCAACCATTAAATATACCTAATGGTTTAAATATGCAGATGATCAGCAGAAGAATGGGAATGTCCTATATGTGTGGGAAGAAGTAGAAAGATATAAAAATGAAAACTTTCCATTTTCTTATTTTTCTACTTCCACTTGTGCCAAAACATTATGAGTGTCAGCACAGGACCTGTCTTGAGAAGATTATTGCCATCGAACAATTTACTAAATAAATAAATATATTATAAAAAGGCTATCATCGTGGTGAAACAATGTTTCGTGTTTTATGGAAGAAAATTGATTAAAAGAGTTGAATTTAATTGGATATGAACAAAATAATAGACTAATTGTTTTAAATATCTACTACATTTACACTACTAATGACTGCTYGCCCCCAAGTGATCTCGCCCCATAATTTCCCAMCACTTAGTCATTGATATAAYATGCAGTCATAATGTTATGTTGCTATGCTTAAACACAGTTTAACAATTTAACTATCAAATAGAGTAATGTTGGTTGGACTTSAACTCATGGTACTCGTGTTTCATCAACCAAGGGTTACCCTGAGGATGGGCCAATAGGCCSGCAAGCTTGGTAAATAAAACAAACTTGGTTGATGAAACACGAGTACCATGAATTTAACTATCATTAACTTTTAGTTTTTTAGGCCTGTATGAACAAATGAGACTGCTACATGYCACTTGCCCTCCATCAGTTTCAAATTTCATGCAATTCTATAACTGCAAACTTCAAATGRCCTCTATTTGATTAAGTGAATGACTTTTACTTACATATGAGGTCTTATATGCAATAATCTTCCAGCTTTTTCAAGCTACAACAAAGTAAATGATTATATAAAAATAAAATAACAGACTCACAGTAATTTCACAATTTCATGTGAAAAAATACTAACTTAGACAAATCACACAATACAATGCAATTAATCATACTACAAGACTATAATAATAAYACTTACAAGTTCAACAAATTTCTTGTGACTGGCAATATTTTTACCAGAATCAATAGATCCATAAACAACACTTTGTTCTTGCTCTCTCTGGAGAATACCTGTCATGATAAAAAAACACTAAGGTTTATAAGGACTCGGGATACTGTGAATTTGAGTAAACACACTTTGTTTTGTTTTTTCTTTCTTATATTACAGAGGAACTAGGCCTTATAAAATGCTACTAACATGCAACARAGAGCGCAAACCCTTGKGATTCTTCATTGACACATTTCAATAGAGAAGGTTTGAAAAATAACATGTTGTGTGTAATGTTGAGTTAATGAAGGGATACATAACATTCCATTTCCTTGGGGGGAATACCAATGATATTGAGATGTAATCACTATACATGTATATAACACAATTCTAAAACTCATGAATTATTCATTAGACATTCTTCCAATGAGCATTCAACTATGGGTCACATGACAGGATCTATAACTCAAGTTATAAACACTGATTAATTACATGGGCTTCCAAAGGAAGACCATGTCTTAAATTACCGACGTTTTTCGTCTGTGGTATGCTTCAAATTATATCCGGGACCTTTTCATTTTTGACATCTATTGTCTTACTGTCATTCATGTTTCTAAGCAACGATTCAAAGGTCGCCTCGTGCTTCTTCGGACCTTCGTATAGCCGGCAAAGTTTTAAGATCGAACATGTCGGATCTACAGCAGGTTATCTAGCTTCTACAAATACGCTAGATTCTTTTACAAAAATCCACACACCATTCGCAGCATAGCCACACTAAAAAAATTCGAGCATTTCGCAAAAGGGCATTTGGAGAGATACGGCGAATTTATCATGATGATCTGCTGACCGTGAATTGTATATCAAACATTAGCTTATCAAAAGCTAACTTATACTAGTACAGGCTCTACAATCACCAAGACATGTCAACAGATTTATACTGAGGAAAAACAGAGGATTGGAAGTATTTTAAGCGAAGAACATGAAAGACTATCGATCTGTTAATACAGCCAAGGATGAGACTCTTAAAGTAACGGCTCGTCAAACATAAATTCTTCTAAGTACATTGCTTGTTTGATTATTTTTCATTAAAAGAAATCTTTTTTTGCTGTTGTCTTAGTAATATTAATTTCATTAGGGTTCAATATCATTCACTGATTGTAATATACCACAGGAAGCCCATGTAAATGATCGCTGATCGTCTAGTTAAACATGAGTTTTATAACTAACCGGTTCAGTTAGTTATAACACTCATGCATAAAACATCATACAGACACTCGATGTCTGCCCAACACTAGAAAAGTTCTCAGTTTTAGACTCTCAACATAGAACTTCACTAGGTCTCGAGTTAAAATTACTTATTTGCAGAGTCACAGTACACTAAAACATWGTGGCGCTTGGATGTGGGAAACCAAGTTGATTACTGCTCATGCTCAGATGGAGATATCTTCATCAATTATTCATTTTTGATATTTTTTATTTATTTCATGTTTATTGTAGTTTCTTAGGTTTGGGTTTTAGAAGTCATTTAAAAAACTCGTAGTCCGTGTTTATATCTCACGATAAAACACTCCTACTCGTTTTTTAAATATCACTTCTAGGATAGTTGTACTTGAAAGAAAAAATGAAATGGGACTTACCTGGAATGATAGACTGTGCTATAACTCTGTAACCTCTATAATCAACAACAACTGTTCCAAGAGTGAATAATCCCTGGTGAAAAATACACAATTTATTTTTTTATTGCAATAGCACTCTTTTGTACTCAAAAGAAGCAAAGCTTTCTTCTGTTTCTTGATTTGAACAGCCAAAATGGAGTGCAATAGTTTAAAGAGCACAGAGACAATTATGAGCTATAACAGGTTGCACAACTTCTATAAAAAAAGGTAGCAATTCCCCTACTGATGAATTATATAGTTTAAATAATAACAGTTGTGTGAAAAATATAARTTTAACACCGTAAAAAAGTATGGGAAATAACTTACTGACGTTTCGGATGTTAATCCTTCGTCGGAGTAAAGAGAGAGAACTAGGTATAGTGTGAGTTTATATAGTAAGAGTAGCAAAGAGAATACTTTTTTACGGTGTTAAACTTATCTTTTTTACACAACTGTTTCTTTAGAAACACCGACGCAGCTCACACTAGTTTACCGCTAGTTCCCACCATTTTAAATAATAACAATCTTTTTTTAGGAAAAACTAATCATGTAAGTGGTTTTCATAGAATTCCTAAAAAAAATTAACTTATATTTATATAACATTAAGATAAAAATACATAATAATTATATCTAGTATATAAAGCTATGGCTAACTTTAATAAAAATAATTATAATAAAAAAGATAAATAGTATATAATATAAAAACTAAGATTAGGTGGTAAAAAGATGAAAGCATAACTTTGATTTAAAAATGCTTAAAGGTGGTGAATCTCTGATAAATAGATCTAAATTGTTCCAATCATTAATGGCTTGAAAGCATTATGTCTGTTGCTTACCCCAGTTTCTCTTTACTTTCGGCAATCTTAAATTATTTTTTGCACATGTATTATATGAATGGGTTTCACTGTTTCTAACAATTTCTAAAGAATGCTTATTCAAATTATTAACACATTTGAAAATATATAAGCAATTATTAACACATTTGAAAATATATAAGCAGCGCTGGTAAAGTCTGCGTTTCCCTAAACTTAACAATTTCAGTGRTGCATCTGTTGGGGAAGAATAAAAACGTCTATCTAGGATAATTTTTGCTGCCTTATTTTGGTGTGCTTTCAACTTTCCCATTAAAGTAACATTGTCTTTGTCGCCCTAAACTACAGTACATCAGCATAGTCAAAAACGGGCACAATGAAGCTATTTTAAAATAGCAAGCGGGAGTAAAGTGGCAGTAAATGCTTAATTCTACGCAAAAGGCTCAAATCCCTTTTGATCTTACAAGAGATATATTCAATGTGGTCAGTCCATGTAAAGTTTGCAGATAGCTTAATTCCAAGATACTTGAAACTAGAAACACTTTTTACATTAGACTCAAAAGTAGTCAATGAAAAAGACGAAATTACAGAAGCTTTTGCTACTCCCTATTAACATAGATCTTGTTTTGTCCACGTTTKAAGTAAGTTTGTTTTTATGAAGCCAATTAGCAACATTTAGAAGATCTCTGTTTAACTTTTGCTTCAATAACCGAGGATCTTTAGTTTCCTATCTGGCTGTTATTTGTACACATTTAAGCTCATATATATAATTTCCCACCCACTACTCCAAAAGTTTTTCAGACTTTTTACTATGCGAGTGCCTTCTTCCCAAAATGCTTGGTGCTCAAAAAAATTAAATTCTTACTATTATAAGACCCTGTTTATTACCTTGGTATCAATTCTATTGTATGCCATAACTCCCATCATATCACCATTCTAAATTCAAACACAATTATAATCGTTAAAAAAAATTACAATCTATAAATCATAAGAGAGTTGTTGTTATCAAAAAGATATCCTGCTCCCCAATACAGCTGCTCCCTGCTACAAAAGAGGAAAAACATATTGAAATACTTTCTGTTTTAAAATGAGTGAGTACTTACTGCAGCAGCATGGGCTGCATCATCACCTGAAAAATAGAGATTCATTGWAATTAGTTATTCATAGCAACTGCTTTCATGCCCAAGGCTCTGTGGTTCCTTATAGGCAAATACCAGGCAACTGTGGAAGAAATGATATATTTAAAGAGMTCAAAAGTATCAATAATCACACAATTTCTAATACCAATACTGTATGAAAAAAGTTTATTGTATACAAAATGAGAACCACCTCATGGGAATATAACTTCAAATATTTGGTTCTTCATACCTCCCATGTCGCTGTAGTGCTCTCTACTGTCAAAAGCAAAACTAAAAAAGATGTTATTCCACAGGAACATTCTCTTTCTACAACAGAATCAAACAAGATATTCAGTCTKACAGAAAGGCAAATCATTGTTAATGCAAAATACAGGTACATGACATCATCAAATTTGCTCCTTTTGCATTAAAAAAAATTGCAGAAAACCAAAGATAAAGTCACATTAATTGTATGTCCTTATTGCTGTAATATGATATAAAATATAAACAGATTCGCGACATTAAAAATATGTGCATGAAGGTTTGAGCAAAATGATGTACATTCGAACAACTCAAAATTTTAGGTTAAGATTTTATTGAAACTTCGTCAGTATATCAATTATGTTATTAAGAAATGATTCTGAAAATTTTATTACAATCTCTGCAATGAGTTTCGAGAAAATTAATTTTGAAGAAAAATGAAGGTGTTTTTATTTTGCATCGCTTCTCCAAATGGCTTCGCTTTTTGGCAAATTAATTTCAATGTGACTTCTGTGAAGTTTGAGTGCAATTGAATCGAAATTTGTGACGTAGTTCGAGTTTAAAAACATGCGCGAAACCGCTATTTATTACAATTGAAACACCTTCTGTGCGTAAATCAGTGCTGGCGTAAAGCTATACTAGCATGTGTTTTATCAAGGGTCAAAAACCTGTGCTGCACTCAGGTTTTTTTTATCCTCTGATAAGACACTGCTGCTTGTTTTATATATTCATTTTAACCTTCAAATAAATGCTGCAAGAACTTTTTAATTCAAATGTCATCAGTCACTGGATTTGAGGTCACTGTACTGATCAACCAGATTTCTACTTTACTTACTTTTCATCTTCACCTGGATTTATGGCCATGACATTCCCATCAACAACAGTCATGGCTCCTTTGGTTGCAGCAGAAACAAAATCACTTGTGATCTGAACAGAAGAAAAATTTTAATGTTTTTCATGTTCGTGTGAACTAATTAGGTGCGAGAGTTATCTAATCTGGGTTAACTACAGAAGGTGCTACATGTATATTTCTAAACAAAACATTCATGTATCTAATATATTGATATTGAAATGTAATTCTGAAATGGATTTGACATCTGTCTTAATAGATGGTTACCAAGGTAACATTTTGACATTTAAGAGATGGCCTTGATAACTGCTTTTCCATAATTGATCAATTATTCCACTCCTCTCCATCCCACTCTCCTTCCAAAACCTCTCGACACCCCCTTTCTGTAAATGAAGTTCTAAATGTATGTTTGTATGTTTATAAAACTACCCATTAAGTAATCATTGTTCTTAAATATCTGATTTATATCTAATATGTTGACATTTGCAATAGGGTCATTCTACCTTAAATAAGGCTCTCTCCCGTAATAGCCGTTGCTGCATGGTGTCATGAGGAAGTTCTCTTGCGGACTGCAGCTCCTCATTCCAATCACGAAGCTAATCAACAAATAATTGATTTTTGTTAGGTAGTTTAGAAGCTTGTAAATTGTGCTGGTATTTTGCAATTAATGTGCTTGAATAATAATAATATTTTCAGGGAATTGGTTGAATCAAAATAAAGCTTTTAACTATCAAAAGCAAAAATAAATTATGCCACTTTCACCCATGAACATAGTGCACACATAGAATTATGACAAGAAGCCCGAAATAAACTGCAAACTACCAAAAACACACAAGGGGATTGAAACGTTGTAAAATATTTAGCATTTAATTTTTGATACCATATTTGGTAGTCAAAGTTCTGATTAAAAATAGCCATAATGTTCGTTTAGCCTGTAGTACTTTAAWTTTTTTTTACAGATTTMATTGAGAAAGGTTTTAAATGTACAATTATTCAAATATTCCAGAGGTTGGAAAATGTATGTCGTATAAATCYCCTTTTGAATTTCAGAGATTACCTGTCCTGGCATGTGCTCCTCATAGCCAATTCTGATTGATGCAGCTGAAAGACAATCCAATTTTATTAATGTGATTTCAGATATTATAATGTAGTTCAATAAAGCTATGCAATCTGATTGGTTTTGAGATGGYTTTTATGCTTAACAATGGCTGCTATCATATTAGCTTGCCCGATCAGTCACTTGAGATTTATACTACATCTAAAACTAATTGCAGTATTGTAAGCTTTCTGCACCATTACTTTTTTTTGAAAATAGCACATTGAATTAAATTGTAGCTTTGCAGACGGCATTGTCATTGTACATTGTCATATGTATTTTTGTCATTTTAATTAATTGATGCCATTAAAAYTTATTAGAYATTGTAAAACKCATGAATAATTAATGAGGAAAACACAATAGAAATCACAACYGTGAAGAGCGTTGTAATATTTGATATAAAACTGTCTTGATTTGCATAAACTTCAAATCTGATTTTCTCAGCCAAATTAAATTTTATCTTTAAGTTTTTAGTAGATT